GCAGCCGACTCCCCCCCCAATTTCCTCAACCCCAGCCTCGGCCTGTCTCTACTCCAGGACCCTTCATCCCTGAAGGCCCCGCTTTTTCACTCTCGCCTGCCTGGGCTTTATTCCTTCATCTATCCTCCTCCTGGTGGGGGTTTGCTACATTCTTACCTCCAGGGCACCTCTTTTGTGACTGCATGTCTCTCGGTTCTCCCTCGCCTTATTGGGCTGCTTAGTTCACACACGTGAACCTTTCTCACCCCTCTGTTTTTCTTCTTGGAACGCATGTTCTGTTTCTGGGGAAGCTTCCGGACCCTTTAGAGGTATCTGGCTGAGGTACAGCCACTGGTGGTGGGTCTCTCTGGAGACATGGTTATGCCCTCGACATTCTTCTTTGGATGCTTGGTTTCACTGTTTACCGTAGGGATCGCCTTGCAGGGAGTGGACGGTGGCCTAGCCCTTCTTGTACGCAACCAGCTCCAGAGTATGACCCTCTCTCCCCCAAGCCTATGAGAGTGGAGTGTTGGAAACTCTGGCTGTTTAGAGTTGCCTTGGGCACTCAGTGGTGCAAATACTCCTGATTTATAATCCGGGCAGGCCGATTACACAAAGTGAATTTACCTATTACTTTGGACAGCTCTGTGATTCTACGCTTGTGATAGGGGGACTTTAACGCAAGCACCCGTTCTGGGAGCCATCCATTTCTTTGGATCAGTGAATCCACAGGTAGGGCCCTGTTCCAAACCCCTCCTTGCATCTTTACCTTTCGTTGCTCACAAACCCCCAGGTTTGGAGACTAGAGTGGATCCTTATACCAGGCGAGTTTCTACCCCAGACCCCCATTCTTGGGTGTGGATATTTTACTACAGCTTTCTGTTACTGTAGGCCCCTTCATGGGGAGTGGACCCCTCTTCCAGTCCCTTTCTTCTACCAAATGAAGCCTTAGCAGAGCCAGTGACGGCAGTTCGTTCATGGTGGAAAATCACCCAGGCCGGTTGGACCAAACTATAATTGGGCCCTTGCTGATTACAGCCTGCCTCAGGACTCCTTGCTGGACGGGCTGTCACGTCTCTTCAAGGGGCCATGCTTGAGGGCGGGCTCGCGTTTGTTTTTGTCTCTCCGGGGAACTTCTCCCATCCACGCCCCCGGGTTTTCCCTGGTTTGGGAAAGATGAGTGCTTCCGAGCAGTGAAAGCGCGTCGGACAGCGTGGGCACGGTGGCAGCACCAAAACCCCCTCAGACTCAGCAGTTGGCTTACCAAAGGGAAGACGCTCTTTGTCGGCGAACCCTCCCCCAAGCGAAAAGTGCATCCTGGGCTTTATTCTGTTCTTCTCTTTCTTTTTGCACCTCTGCCAGTCAGGCATGGGGTTTTTCCACTCCCTGTTGGGATCATGTTCTTTAAGTACTTTTCCCTGCTGGGGGAAGGAGTGACTCCACTCTTACCCCAGGATTTAGGCTTGAGACATTGCAAATTTTCTTCGGTCCTATGTTTTCTCCTCCTCCTCCTCTACCCTCTAAAGTGATCAAATGGGGCCCTTTGCCACCCGCTGTACCGAGGTTCACTGCCAGGTGCTGGCATCTCCCTTTAGTCCCAGAACTGCAACTGGTACTTTCCCAACTTTTTCCCGCTCTTCTCCAGGGGAGGACAACTTGCCCTATTCATTTATACTAATCTACCTCCCTCCTGTACAGAAGCTATGCTGGAAGTTTTCAATACCAGCTGGTATACAGGTGTCTTCTCTGATATGTGGAAAAAACTCTCTTCTGATTCCGATTCTAAAAACCGGGGCAAGGATGATACCCAACTGAGCTCTTACCGGCCCATCGCTCTACTGCCCTGCTCGGGTTTTTGGGGCTGGAATGACTGGTGGCTACTCGTCTCTCTTGGTGGACTGAGGAACAGTGGCTTCAGAGAAGGTTGATCCACCCTTGACCCTTTGCTTCAATTTACACGCTTGTGCACACTTCATTTGAATGTTGGGAGTTTCCTTTTGGCTGCATTTTTGGACCAACACTGAGCATTTGACTCTGCATCACACACAGCAATTGTTTTCAAGCTGGCCTGCATGGGGCTGGCGGAGCTCCCCTCTGCTGGAAAGGGGCAACTTTTTGCAAGGGGGGACCTTTCGTGTAGCAGTGGGTGGCGCTTTGTCCTCACCCTGTCCTGTATACCGGGGAGTGCCCCAGGGATCTATTCTTAGCCCACTCCTTTTCTCTGTCTTACTGTCGGATCTCCCTTCCATCCAAGGAGTGCATACCCCTGTATACGCAGATGATGTGGCCCTTATGTGCAGTGCCCAGCCTTACTGACAGCACAGGAACACTTCAGGGTGCACTGCAAGGCATACTTCAATGGGCCACCACCTGGGGTTGGGGTTAGTGACACTAAGTCAAGCTTATATGCTTTACTAGATGCCAGCTCCCCACTACTTCCTCTGTTCATTGATCCAGATGCCAATCCCTTTGGTCTCCTCTCATCAGTTGGTTGGGAGGGCTCACCTAGAAGCACCATTCTTGACTTGGAAGAAACACACAGTGGCCCCTCACACCTCTCATGTGCAGTCAGCATTGCGCTTATGTGCCGGATCTCTGGCACCAAAGTGGGGGTGGATTGAAACTTCTCTATAAGTTCTATTACAGCTATGGTTTGCAGCAAGCTTACTTATGAGTGTGAGGTGTATGGCTCGGATTCTTCTCCCTATCTTCAATGCTTAGACATTCTCCAGAATTCAGCATCCGTTATTGCTGGGGGCATTCCCCTCCACCCCTATCGCAGCCTTGGAAGGCAGAGTTGGGGATGTCCTTTCGTCGGTGAGGACAGTGTGGGGGGGGGGGGGGGGGTGGTGTGGGGGGGGGGGGGGGGGGAAACCAGTGGGGGGTTTGGGGGGGGGGGGGGGGGGGGGGGGGGGGGGGGGGGGGGGGGGGGGGGGGGGGGGGGGAGGAACTGTTTACGGACTCCATATATGGCCTCTCTGCCTTGTACTCACCCCTGTCGCCTCTCTTCACATATATGGGAGAGAGCCTCTGTCCCCCAACGTTGGTTCAGCCTTCCTTTGTAGCCAGGGCCCAGCGTTCCCTGACCTGCCTTACTCTTCCTTCACTTGTGATGACTCCTTTCCCTCTCCACTCTCCGGCACCCCCCTGGCTGGGCCTGACACATTACATTCACCTGGATTGGCACTACAGGAACAGGGAACCCCCTCAGTTAGTTGCATTTCTATTTGAAGAGTTTCGCTCTGTTACACATGGGTCTTCATTCTCCGTCTACATGGATGGCTCGGCACAGTCCTCCCTCCTTCTACATCATCTGCAGCCTTCTTCGCTAATCTCTCCCTGTGTCAAATGTGGCGGTTAGACCCTGCTCATTCTGTTCTGGCAGGGAGCTCTTTGCCATTCACCAGGCTCTGGCTTTTGTCCTAGATCACATTCCCCCACAAACATTGGTTCTCTTCTCTGATTCCCAATCTTCCCTGGCACTTTTGTGCTCTGCCCGCCCACGATCACTGCGCATCCTCATTCATCAGACACAATCCTCCTGCACTTCTTGCGGAGCCCAGGTTGGAGCATCTTCCTTCGGTGGGTTCCCGCCCATGTTGGAATCTGGGGCAATGAAGTGGGAGATCGGGCGGCCTCCCTCACGCACACACTTCCTACTGTTACCCCTCTTGCTCTGGGCCACAGTGATTTCACAAGGGCTGTTTGGAAGGGAATCCGTCATCAGTGGCAAGAGGGCCTTGCACACTCCCTCTCTCCTTCGGCGTTGGGCTCTGTCCGAACTTTTAATGGCCCCTGCCCCAGGGCTCGCCATCCCAACCGCTCGGTGGACGTTGCACTGACTCACCTTCGAGTTGGGCACTCGCGACTGGCGGCCCATCTGTACTGCCTTCGGATGACGGACTCTCCATACTGCCTGTGGTGTCCCTCACAGCCTGAGACGGTGGAACACTTCCTGCTGTGGTACCCACATTATCACTCTGCACGAACTACTCTCCGTGCGGCCTTGCGCACGCTTGGGGTGCACACTTTCACTCTACCTGTCCACCTCAACGGGGAGGGGTTTCGCCCTCTGGACCGTCAGGAGATATTGACTTGTACCTGCTCCTTCCTGCTGGCTTCAGGGCATATCAGAGACATATGATACATAAATATTAGTCAAGACATTCTTCCACTTTGGTCGATATCCCCTCTCCAAGCACTGGATGGCCGGGCTCGATACGGTGTATGCTGTCAGTGGCCCTGAAACCCAACAGAAGAAGAAATGTTTCCTGATGCGGGTTTTAATTATATGATGACCCACAGCTGGAGCTTTTGGTCATCTGCCAGAGGCCTTCCATTGGCTTACCCGTCCACCCCTTCAAAAATTACCGTCATGATTATAACCTATTCTCTTCTATAATTAATAAGCTGTCAGTTAGATTTCATTCTTTAATAGGCTTCTTCATATAATTTTCATGTATAATCATTAGTTTTTAAGTTTCTTATTTTTTTAGTAATAAGTTTATTAATTCAGAAAAAAATCTGCAGTAGTTACCAATAATCATTATTAAGTCTTTTCAGAAACAAAATTTTCTATGTTTGTCTTAGATTTGTACATTATGTTTAAAATATCCATACTTCCTAATAATAATTAACAAAATTTACATTTGCCTTTGTTTCTTGGTTAATTAGTGAATTTATACTGAGGGCTTGATTAGTAGGTATTAAAATTCAAGTCTTTTATTACTCTTGACTATAATAGTAGTTTAGAATGTTATACATTATTTATGCATGATTTTCTCAAAGTTAATGATAAAGATAGCAACTATAATATATACAGCCTATACAATGATCACACTTCTCAATTTAATTGTTACATGACTCTGTTACACTTCTCAATTCATTTCACTTCTATGTTTGTCACACTTCTTAATTTAAATGGTACATATCTTAATGATGATGAAATCAAGACACACATGCAACATCTGGGTATCTTTATTGTGGATGTTTCGCCCTCCAGTGTCTTTATCAATACAAAATTCCAGGACTTGTACAACATTTCTTAGTGTTTCACTCTTTACTAGACTGGCGAGTGAAATAGACAATACTCTCTAGTGTGATGTCATTGAGTGTGAGTGTAATAGGTCCCTCGATGACTTGGTCAGTGCCAGCCTGCTGCCATGATCCAGGTGGCACTACCACCTCCAGAGTCGTGGCACCTTCCTCCACTACAGGCACCACCAACAGGTCGTCACCCAACAGGAACTCTGTGCAGAGGTAACAACATAGCCAGAGAGTTTTATGATACATGGAAGGAACTGTGAACTTCAAGAACATTAGCTGGTAAGAATATTCAGTGTTCTACGTCGCAGAAATTATCACATCTGCACCGCCAGGAATCCGGACAATTTCCAGTGCAGAAGTAAGTGAACAGTCTGGATAACACATTAACAACTCCAGAGATGATGACTGCAGCAATATACAAACTTTAAACACGCATAATCTGCACATAAGAGAGAGAAGCTTTTGACGACGTTTTGGTCCTACTTAGACATTACAAGTCTTGTAAATGGTCCAGGTTAGACCAAATCATCATCATAAGCCTCTCTCTATTTCACATATTGTGCCTTTTTGCTCTTTAAATTTAAATGATGGTGCTTACACAATTTTTGTTTAGAAAACACTTAGAAGGTGGCTTAAGTGTAGATTATACAGAAGACAGAAGCTTAATAAATTCAACAACACGGAAAGAATTCATTTATAGAGTTTAGCAGAAAATGTATTTAATTAGAAGGTCATCTGATATTCCAACAAGTGTAAAGATGTAATGGTTGTAATTATAACCTTAATTTTTAAAGGAGGTGGATAGGTAAGCCAGTGGAAGGCCTCGGTAAGATGATCAAAAGCTCCAGCGGAGGGTCATCTTATGACTAAGACTCGCGTCAGGAAACACTTGTCCTGTTTCCTAACAAATCTTACCTAACCTATTCCAATAGGAAAATCTAGCAAGGTAATGGATGCTACCTGGACAGCTGATGAGCCGAGACATAAAAAAAATATTCACTCAAGAGTTATCAGCAAGAAATATGAATACACTAGATATTTAATAGACAGACATGTATGCATATACGTATACATATACAAAACAATGACTGTGAAAAAAATAGTGACTTTCCAAGTACAGTACTTTTGTGATAAATCATGAAAGCACTTGGAAATTCACTATTTTTTTCACATTGGTTATTTTGCAATTTGTGACAGCACCTGTTTACTGTGATCTTATTGCATATATATACCCATATGATATAAATTTTATAAAAGGGAAGTGAATTTTGCTATAATGGTAAAACCTCTCCTTATTTTATGATATAACATTTTGTGCCCATCGGCGACCTAAGGTCACAGGAGAGCTGGGCTCACAGACGGAATTAAGTCATGCTATCCTCATCACCATAGGTGAGTCAGCTTAGTATCCTGTGCAAACTATGGGATCTTCGTGAAAAAATGTATTATGCGCTTTTTAAAAACGTATCGTATAGTAAAAGCAATCAACTATTGCAATCAAGAAATTCCCCCCACATAACACAATTTAATCATGACACATAATGGGTTTTCACACATAAGAGGATGAACACTATAAGCCGAGTATTTCCTCAACTTTTTGATAGATCTTCCAGAGATCACATGATGATTTATAAACATTATGAACATATGTCACATTAATCTTGGTGCTACCAATGCTTCACTCAGTTATAATTCAAGTTTTGTTTTACCTAGTAACCTGTGGCAGTCTTGTGACCAATTCCAGATGATCCAACAGCTCCACCTTTAATCAAAATTCCCTCTTGATTGAATGATTAGTCAAGTTTTGCTGTCCTCGGCTTGCAGGCCTTCACAGCCATTACAACCTGGCTCATCAGGAACCTCCTACATTAATTAGACAACTTAGTAAATGGGGTTTAAAGCCTATTGTCAACATGAGAGGGTCATTAATTCTTTCCATAATAACTCTACTATACACTTTACCTGGTACATTCAACAGCTTATAATTCTTAGTCTCTTTTTATCTTCTATTTTCTTATGCAAAGAAATTAAACACATTCTTTGCTAATCCCTAGCTAACTTTTTCCCTTTCATGCATATATTGAAGAAATGAACCAGCCACTCCAAAACTATATCCCCAGCTATATTCCAAGTATCCCAACCGTTTTAGCAGTTTCATTTTACTCACTGCCTCACGCACTTTACACACATCTGGCTCTACCTCACTCATACAAGATGCTATTCTTCCCTGCCAATGCATGAAATCATGAAACCACTGCCTCTCTTTCTTGATTACTACTCAACAATTCAGTGGACCCTCAGTTATCAGCCATAATCCATTCCAGAAGGTCAGCCTAAAAGTGAAATATCTGAAAACCCAAATATTACCCACAAGAATTAATGTAAATACAATTATTCTGGAAGGAGGGGGTAAAGGAGGTTTCGTGTGCAAGGGGCTTGCTATTGGGCCAGTAAATAACAAAAAGGCACAATACCGTGACTGGAACGATACACAAATAACCCGCACATAAAAGACAGAAGCTTACGACGACGTTTCGGTCCGACTTGGACCATTGACAAAGTCACACTAACAGAGGAGGAGCAGGACGGCTATATATAGGCAGGAAGAGGTGGAGGTAGTAGTAGTGGTAGTAGCAGTAGTAGTAGTAGTACAAGAATTGTATTAATACCGACAGGATGAAATGAACATGCAACAACACCCGGGCATCCCCACCGTAGACGTTTCGCCATCCAGCCAGCCACTGGATGGCGAAACGTCCACAACAAGACAACCAGACGCCGCACATGTGTCTAATTTCATCAGTAGATGTAGTAGAAGAAGAAGAGGTAGTAGTAGTGGTAGTGGTAGAAGTGGAAATAAGGAAGACGAGCCAGTCAAATACAAGGAAGGGGAGCACTGCAAGAGAGCTAGAAACCCACAGAGGGAGAGCAAGCGCACCGAGGTGCGTGAAAGGGGAAGTGGTGAAATAAAATAAAGAAGGAACAGAAACACGAGACAGGAGAGAGAAAGACAACCCCCTGTCTCGTGTTTCTGTTCCTTCTTTATTTTATTTCACCACTTCCCCTTTCACGCACCTCGGTGCGCTTGCTCTCCCTCTGTGGGTTTCTAGCTCTCTTGCAGTGCTCCCCTTCCTTGTATTTGACTGGCTCGTCTTCCTTATTTCCCACTTCTACCACTACCACTACTACTACCTCTTCTTCATTCTACTACATCTACTGATGAAATAGACACATGTGCGGCATCTGGTTGTCTTTGTTGTGGACGTTTCGCCATCCAGTGGCTGGCGGATGGCGAAACGTCTACGGTGGGGTCCCCGGGGTGTTTTTTGGCATGTGTCATTTCACCCTGTCGGTAAAAATATACAATTCTTGCCCCCCCCCCCCCCCCCCCCAAAATTAAAAATTTAACTATTTCTACTGCTACTCCCACTACAACTACCCCCAAACCTTTTCCCTGCCAATATATAGCCGTCCCTCCCCCCTCTGTTTAGTTTTACTTTGTCAATGAAGTCGGACCGAAACGTCTCGTAATTTTCTGCCCTTTTATGTGGGGTTTTTTTTGGTAATTGGGCCGTGTTCGCACGCTTTTGGGGGCCGTGCGGACGTGCTGGCCAGTACCTCCTGATTGATTTGGGGTTTTTTTGCGCAGTGTTACGGTATTTGGGCCTTTGTAAAGGGACCTGTTTGCGCGCTCTTAGAATTAAAGCAAGATGCCCCCTTTCGAGCAACTTTACCAACAGCTTAAGGAAGAATTGGGGTTTGGGCGAATATGGAATTCGGCGACTGCCCGAAAAAAACAAAAGTTTCGGATTTATTCCTCCTGTTTTGAGCCCTCGGGGTCAAAAAGGGAAAACGGGTTTCAGTGGCGGGACAGCGGGGGAAAAAAGTTAAACGATAAAAGAAAAACAAAGGGAAAAGGGGAAAAAAAACGTGAAAAAGAAAAGAGACGGCCGTGGAAACTGTTGGGGGAAACATCCAATACATTCTCAGTCTAAAACCCGAGAAAGTAGTCAAATACTGGGGAAATCACAACGAAAGAAAATTAAGGAAGGGCGAATATTGTTGTTGTTGGGATAGCCAAGTTTTGGGATATGGATAGGGCTTTTTTGCTTAAGGGAAAGGGGTAGGGACAAAAAAGTTTTTGTTTCCTGGGGCTGGATGGGGGATATTGTTAGCCTCGGATGAAAATCAAAGAGAGTAATTGGGAAAACAATCCCATTATCGTCTCATGCGGGGGGCAACGATGTTGGAGACGTTTGGGGGTGGGGGAACCCGATTAGCAGGATATCGCAAAAGAAATTAAATTTGAAGTAAGGGGGGAAACCTGTCTTTTGTGGTATTTTGCCCAAAGGGGGGGAGTTGGAAAGGGGAATGGTTTTTCCAGGGCAATTGGGGTCAATTGTGGTGGACAAATACGGAAGGAAAAAGCGGTAACATTCATTGACAAATGGGACCTCTTCTATGGCAGAAATGACATGTATGCTAGGGGGGTTCACTTATCTAGGTGTGGGGTGGGAGCACTGGCAACTGCAGTGGAGGGAGCAGTTAGGACTTTAAACTAGGAATAGTTAGTGGTATGGGTTTTGGCAGGAAAACAGTGAAGTTCCAGTGTAGTAATATTACGAGTTCTAGGGAACTAGTAATAATAAGAACGAGATAGATATTGAAAAGCCAGGGACCTTGGGTGATAAGGACAGTAATAGGTTTTAGTAGAAAAATAGAAATGAGCAGGAAGGGTAAAGAGAAAGGAGAGTCTTTCAATGTTTATTATGCCAATTGCCGTAGTGCTAGGAATAAGATGGACGAGTTGAGATTAGTTGCTAGTGTAGGTAACATTGATGTATTTTGCCTTAACTGAGACGTGGTTTAATTCAAAAAGTCGGGACATGCCTGCGGAATGTCATATTCAGGGTTTTAAATTGTTCCAGAAGATAGAAGTATTGGGAGGGGGGTGGGGGTGGCATTGTATGTCCAAGATCGCTTGAACTGTTGCATAAAAACGGGTATTAAGTCTGAAGTAACACATATAGAGTCTGTTTGGATAGAATTTTCAGAGGGGCATGAAAAAACTGATTTTAGGAGTGATATACCGTCCCCCAAACTTAGATAGGGACCAAGGGAAACTACTATGGGAGAAATTGTTAAGGCCACAAGGCACGATAATGTAGTAATTCTAGGAGACTTTAACTTTAGTCATGTTGAT